AAAACAGACAGTGGAATGTTGTAAATATATTGTGTTTCTGTTGGAACAGCTAAACTTACCAGCCTCTGAGTTTTCTAACTGCATACAGTACATCCTCAGTACATTTCTACCTTTTGTATAGCTATATATAAAGTTAAGAACTTGAAGAATGTTTGTGGCCTTCAATCTAAGATCATGATTCAATTGAAGCTTTAACCTCTACTGACTGCAGTGGAGATTCCACAAGTGAAAATAGCTAGGTCTACATGAAGTGCTTGAGGTACCTATGTTATCTTATGCCACAAAGCAAACATTTTATTTTGTCAAGGTGTAGAAGTAATGCACGTGGTTTCTCATAGCCCAAAGTTAGCATGGCAGGTGAATGGTAAAGAAATACACATTTGGAAAACTGCATACCAGGTACTTCCTCAACTTTTGAAGAACTGAAAATTTCCAGTGCATGTTTTGATAAGTATCCAGAGCATAGAGATGTTTTTAAATCCCCAGTAAAAAGGAAAACAATAGAGCCAATAAACATCCAGCCTATTGCCTACTATGTCAGCATCTTGTCTCCATACTGTATTTTCATACAAGAATTGGAATTCCCTGAATTCTGAGTTTTGCTAATTTAAAATTGGGAGGATGTGACACATTTTTATCATGCCTGAATTGCAAATATTTAACCAGATATCAGCCAAAAATACATACTTTTTATTTTTAGAACAAAATCTTTTATTTATTTTTTTTCAAATACTCTGTTAAATGTATGGGGATGCTAAGTTTCCTGGACTATATAACTGTTTTATTTTCCATGGTATTGTCATTTGTATAGCTGCCCTTGTCATATGTTAGAGGTTTGCTGCTTGAAACTAAGGGTGTGGGACATAGCTTCCTACAGATAGCTGTAGTTCAAATTTGTATGCTAGCTTGCAGTCAACTATCATTTCAATAATGCTAACTTAAAGTAATTCAACTGCATAACAACTTACAGTCATTGTTATTTCAGTTAATAAGTGTGTATCATTTTAAAAGGTACAATATGGGTCAAGGTTTAATACTTATTTCCAGTGCTATGAAATATGAAGTGACTGATACTACAAAAGATTAGCCCAACTGCTTCGAAAGACAACAGTTGCACATATTGTAATGATATTTGGGGGAACAAATAGAACTTGGTATTTCTTTAGTAGGCAACTAGCATCCCCATTTAAAATATCACAGAGTTCAGGAAAGGGCAGGGGGAAGAGTGCACAGTACTTAAGTTTCACAATCACAATCACAGCACCAAGATTATCCAGACAAATAGGAAATACTAAATGGAAGGCCTCTGGCCAAAATTTTACACCATTATTCTTCAAAAGCTCTGCTTTGGGACCAGAATAAAGCACTAGTGAGAAAGGTAAACCATCATCTTCAGTCCTGTAATAACAGAAGAGTTGTACAGAATTACATAGTGACGCGCCCAATGGAAACCTTTATTCCATAAATTATAAAAAAGAGTAAAGTGTAGTTTTAAAGCTACATTGGAGGATCAGGTCCTTTATTCACTTTTTTTTCATAATGCAATAACTTAATTGCAAAGAAGAATATTACTGAATTGGGGAGAAAGCAGTGCTTCCCCCACACACTATCATATATCTTTTACATCTTTTTATGGAATAGTCTCCTTGATCTAGCCAGTTTATAGGGAGAAAGAAATAACTTTACATTTCTTCCATATTATGTCCAATAAGTTGATTCTCTGAAAAAGTAGGTATTAAGAAAAAGCGAGTAGGTGAATATTTTCTTACTTGCCAATCAGTGCACCGACCACCATTTCTGAGCCTTTAGTCTCCCAAGTAAAACATGGGTGGCTGAAAACAGGTTACTCTAAATCCACTTTGGAGCCTCGTCCAAATTTGGAGTTTTCTCTAGCCCTGTTGAAGCCTGGCCACATTATGAAATGTTAGGACTCTCGCCAAGACATCCAAGTTCTCACTAGTGATCTTTGTGGGTGTGAACTGTCACATTTAATCCCTTATCAAATTAGTTTGAACATATGAAGAAGCTATGTCACACTCATGAATTATCATATACAAAAAGACTGACCTAAATTTATTCCGCCTGCCTCGAGTGGGCATTTTAGCAAATAGAACTTAATAGATCTGAAGGAAGGCTGTCCTCAAAACAGAGCACCAATTTATAGAAATCATACAAGGCTTATCCCGAGAGACATGAAAGCCTCAGTTGGAGGTTGTTAAGAGACCCTGTTATCACCGGCGAGTTAGCTGTCAATCGAGAGAGGTGGACATTCAGGCCCCCTCTCCAAATGCAGTAAGGTTCAAGCACAGAGGTAGACATCAGCAAGAGTGTAGGCAGCATCCTAATTCCAGGAACTTCCCCTAAAAGGAAACTATCTCTGTGAGGATGGAGAACAGCAGGTGTTGGTGATTTTTACAACTTTTTTTTAAAAAGGAGGTACAAGAGAGGGAGAGCTACAGTTTCAAAAAGGCAGGCATGCTGAGGAAGGCAAAGTCCAGGGCAATCGGTTCCTAAGTCACAACGATCAAGAGTATAATACAGCCTGAAACACTTTGGAGCCTTGGAATTCAAGGGGAGAGGACAAAATTAAAGCAATAAAGGACCTATGATTGTGCAAAAAAAAAAAAGAGAGAGAGAGCCTGCAGTACATATGTGGCTGAATCCTTTGATTCAGAAAAGGAACCTGCAGTAGATTCCCAAGAATCTACTGATTTATCTGTTCTTATAGATGTTTGGAATCGTTATGCTGAATTGATGCAGAATTTTCCTCCACACAGTGAGCTGAGGGAATGTAGAAAAGGAAACAATTGTTAAGAAAAAACATCTCCTTGATCTGCCCTTGGCTGAAGCAGCTGGTACACCTAGAGCACCTTGGAGCAGCAATGCTAAGGAGAGGCACATTTTAAAAGAAAAAAAATGGCTTAACTCTCAAGGAGATGGTATTTTTGTGCCCAGCTTGTTCAGCCTGCAGGTGATAACTCACATCCATAGACTCCCCCCCCACACACACACACACAAACCCTAGAAACAAGAATCTATGGGTAGAAATTTGGCATATCAGGGAAAAGGCTAAAATTCACATGCCTGACATGTCATTTTTGATATAGAAATAATGTTTATATCAGGGGACCATCTGATCAGGATCTTCCATTTTTTTCAATTGGAAAATCCCCTCCATATCCTTATTCATTGAACTATTCCAACATAGCATCAGCAAAAAATAATTATTTTCTTTCATTAGTCAGCATTGCCATCAGTATTTAAGTCCATTAGGAAATATAGGCAGGTAGGCTAGATTGGGAAATATTTTTAAAAAACCAGGAAGAAGGCAATGTGGAAGCTGTATTTGTTTGGTTGCCAAGATGACTACATACTGATATTCATGATGTTACCGAGAGTCTGACTCAACCCAAAATAGATTTTACCTACTGCTGCAGGGGGGACACTCTAAGATAAGTATGGACAATTTGAACAGTTTAGAAGAGTGGTGGCAAACCTATGGCATGCATGCCAGAGGCGGCACTCAGAGCCCTCTCTGTGGGCACCCGCGCCGTTGCTCCAGCCCTGCCTCCCCCCTCTCCTCACTAGCAGCCGAGCGTGGCCCGTTCAGAGCAGTACAGCCAAGGACATGGCAGCTGGGCAGGTGGGGCAAGACTCGACCATCACACCCCATTGTGCGCAATTGATGCTGCGGGGCGCAGGCGGAGGGGGGTTGCCATGGTGCTGCTGGGCCACCTGGGTGATCTGCAGCAGGCCGTGGAGGTGGTGGGTGGCCCTGTGGGTGGGCGTGGGGCAAGGGGGCGGAGCAGGGGGGCGGGAGGTGGAGTGGGGGCGGGGCAGGTCCGGGTTTTGGGCACTCGGTCTCTAAAAGGTTCGCCATCACTGGTTTAGAAGAACATATCAGGCAAAGCTTCGTGATTTTTCCACAGCATGCCATAAAGTGGTTGGCTTGTCCCCAGTTCTCCCTTCATTGTAGGCATTGATGGCAGGAGGCACCTCAGCAAGGACAGGTGAGTGGGAAACCTGACAAGATGAAGAAATGGAAATAATGTATATTTCCCCTTTCTTTGGAGGATAAGACTAAGAAGCTGCCTCCTTCTTGAAATCATAGGTGAGGAGCAAAAAGGAGTCCGTAGCAGAGCACATGAAGCAGCTGTTAGAATCTATACAATAAATAGGGTCAGGTCTGGAAAGAAAATATTTAGAATTATGGGAGGAAAGACTTAGGAATCTAAGTCTTTAGATTTTAAGAATCTAAGAATGTTTTTGTTTTTGTTAAAAAAAAAGGTTATTGCTGCCATCATTAGGCTCAGTGGATACATTACTGGGATTAATTGGAGAAGAGATATCTGGATACATTTCCAACAGTTATATATCCCCATGATTATAAATAGTTGGGTAGAGAAGAGAGGGGAGCAAGAATAGCATGAAGAATGCAACAAGAGATCCAAATTACATGGGTTCTCTCTGTCCAGGCATCCATTTCATAAAGCATCCTATCCATCTTGACTACTACTGCATGGACATCCTTGCCCTGCTGGAATCCCCATAAGCCAATGTTCACGTTATCAGCCAAGTATCTACAGGGAAGTACTGGTTGTGTGGCAGGGTTTTCAGAAAGCAAACTGAGATTGGGAATGGATTTGTGAACAATGAAAACAATAGAAAAGCCCATAATTAAGACTTGACCAAAAGGAAACTTCACAAATACATGGGAGAAAGGCATAAAGACTACAAAGTAAATACAAATTAGAACCCCCACTTTCCAGTCGCATTCAGTAAGTGACCAACACAGTTACGGAGAAGGAGTAAACTTGGTGGGACAACTGAATGGATGCCATCTATTGAAGGAGGCCTACTGGACAGCTGTAAATACAAAATAACCAGAGAGGGCCGGGCAGCTAAATAGTAGATTAAGAAGGAATACAGTTTACAGCAGACGAATGGGTAGAATGAAGGGAGGGCCCCCAGTCTGACTTTGAAGCCCCCTCCCTTTGTCCTCAGCTCTGGGCAGTCACCGCCAATGTGTTGACGTAGCCATGGGGCCCCATGTCGTTCTCCGAGATGCAGTGACTGAGCTGGCCAGCTCCGACGCCTGTGGAAAGGACGGGCACGGTCTTGCCCTTGCCTCCCTGTCCGCTGGCAGAGTGGAGAAGGTAGCAGGTCTCCATGGCTTCCAAGCCCCGGCAGGCCAGAAAGAAGAGGTTCTTGAGCATGAAGATGGAGAGCGGCTGCTGGTAGCGCACCAGCAGGAGGCAGCGCAGGGCCAGCAGCGGCGCATCCAGGAGTCCGGCGGGGATCAGCCAGTGCAGGACCAGGCGGCCCGCGCCGGGGGCCCGCGGCGCGCTCAGCTCGTACAGCCAGAGCACGGGCGAGGCCAGGCACAAGAAATAGACGGCGATCAGCACGTACCGGACGGGCGGCGGCAGGGCCAAGGCGGGCCGGCCCGGCTGCAGGAGCAGCAGCTCCAGGAGGGTGAAGCTGTCCAGCAGGTCCAAGCACGTGGCCAGGAAGGCGGCGGAGGCGCGGTGCTGGGGGGGCGGCTGGGGCGGCAGGAGCAGCTGGCCGCCGCCGGGATCCGTGCTGATGGCGCGCAGGAGGCAGTAGAGCAGCGGGGCCGAGAGGGCCAGCGTGATGCGGAAGCCCGTGGCGCCCAGCGGCAGGCGCAGCTCGACCAGCTCCAGGATGGACGTGCCCAGGATGAGGGCCGCCTTGGGCGTGAAGGCGATGGCGTAGATCAGCCAGGCCAAGTGGGCGTAGGCGAAGTCCCCGCCCCGCGGAGCGGCCCCCGCCTTGCTCCCCGAGCCCGCCCCGACGCCGCCGCCTCCGACGCCTCTGCCGCCGTACGGGCCGTGCCCCAGCAGCGGGTGCAAGGGCGGCGGCGGCGGGTAGCCCCCAACGGCCCCCAACGGCCGCTCCCGCCGACGCGCGCGGCTGTTGCGGCAGAAGAAGATGCTCCAGCCGGCAGCCAGCACCAGGTCGGTGGCGATCCAGCTGCACCAGTACAGGTCGGTGACGGCGATCAGGTAGATGTCCAGCAGCGCCCCCTGGCCCAGCAGCAGCACCAAGGACAGCGCCTGGTAGCCCCAACGCGGGCCCGCCGGCCCGCCGCCGAAGCCCCCCGCCCACAGCAGCCCGGCCGCCGGGCCCGCAGCCGCCGCCGCCTCCGGCCCGGCCAGCGGAGCCCCGTACAGCTCGCCGGCGGTCATGGTGCAGCCCGACGAGGAGGAACTGCTGAAGCCTGACGAGGCACAGGCGGCGGCGGCAGCGGCGGCGGCGGGGGGAATGGCCACGACGGCCGCCGGCGAGGCGGGTTCCTGCGCCGGCACCAGCGGCTTGGCTTCTTCCGCTTCGCCTTCCTCGTCCTCGCTGCTGCGGTCGCTGCTGCTACTACTGCTGTTGCTGCGGCTGCGGCTGCTGCTCCGGGTCCGGGTCGAGGCCGAACTGGAAACCGAGCCCCGCCTGCCCCTCCGGGTGCCGCCGCTGGAGCTGCTGGTGCTGCTGACGCCGCCGCCGCCCAGAAAGAGCGGCTGCAGATCCCCGCCGGCGGCGGCGGGGGGAGGCGGCGGGGGAGCCTGGAAGGAGCCGGAGGAGGAGGAGACGGAGCGCTGGTTGGAGACCACCCGGTGCATGGTCAGCCTGAGCCCGCTGCCCGAGGCGACGGGCGGGCCGGCGGGCCACAGCCCTCCAGCCCGGGCGGCCACCCGAAAACCAGCGACCCTGCCCGGCGCAGTCGAGCCGCGGGGAGCGTGAGCGCTGGGCGGGCGAGCGAGCGGGCGGGCGAGGCTGAGCGAACGCGGAGACCCGGCCTGGATCGTCGGAATCCGGGGAAACCCGGAGCGGATCCGCGCGGAGGAGGAAGAGAAGGCAGAGAAGGGGCAGAGCCGCCGGGGAGAGGCGGCCTTTGAGGGTCCCGGGCGCGCGGGGCGAGGGCTGCCTCTGCTCCGAGGAAGCCGCTGCCGAGCCGCGGAAGGACGCGGGCAGGGGCGGGCGCGAGGTAGGGAGACACTTGGGAGCGAAGCCCCCCCCCCACCTCCTTCCAGCGCTCTTCTTGGCAACTGGGTGGGCGGCCAGTGACAGCAGCACATGAGTCACTTGCTGGAGGGGGCAGGAAATCGTTGCCTAGCTGGGAAGGCAGTCTGAGACCCTGAGTATCTCCCCCCCCCCGACTTTGGGAATTAAGGAGGGGTTGTTGGAAGAGACTCTTGTCCAACATGGAGCCCACCCACCCCCATGAATTCTGTGACAACTGTCTGAAGGAGTCTTTCTTGAACTCAGGGTCCCCAAGTTGCTAGCCTGATGACTTAAGCCTTAAAGCACTATGCCAAACTGCCTTTCCGAGAGTTGGGATTACAGTTCCTATGTCATCTCCAGAGAAAGTATAGAGGGCATCAGATGGAGAAAGGTGACTTTTGCATTAGATGCCTTCTGTTTTACACCCTTGTAAGCCCAAGGTTCCAAAGGGGGCTTCTTCCCCCTTCTCGCCTTCTCTGAGAAGGACGTTTAATCCTGCCCGTTGAACTTTGGACAGAACGCTTTATGACCCTGTCCTCACCCAACAGAACAGTCCGGCGTGATACAATATCAATTATCCTGAGCTGGTAGTTATTCTTTGCAGCATCCTCTTGGCTACTTGAGAAAAGTTAAGCCTGCTGTGTAGAAGTCAGTCAGGAGAAACCTAGGCCTTCTATGGTATGTTACTGGTTACAATCCTGCAAAGACACAAAGAGGATTCCCAAATGTTTAAAGTATATTTAGAGTGTATTAAGAAGATTCAGTGGTAAAGAAAAACATGGATTAAAGAACTTGGATTTAGAAGGACCAATAGATAGTTCCCTTCTAACAGGGAGGAAGGAAACCAAGTATTTGTCCTGAGCACAATAGAATAAAACCAAATTATAACACCAGGCTATGTAATGAGTCTCTGTTCTTAGAAGTTCGGCATCCTACCATATGAGGAGGGGCTTCTCTTTTCTTCCCCACAGACAGGCAATTCTCTTCAACAGAACAAAGCTTCCAGCAAACCTCTTCCTATTTAGCTTCCAAGGGAGAATTATTCTTGCTCAGGATTTGCCTAGATAACCCATCATGAACATACCTTAATAGAAGCAGAAGGGGGAAAAAAATCTACAGATCAATTGTGTTTGGATCTAACAGGACTTTGTTGAAGCTTGCATTGTCAGACTAACACCCCAATATGCAGTGTGGATTTGCAATGTGTTCAAATGCTTTAGTACAAAATACAAATCTGGAAAGGATTTTTCTGCAAAGTGACATCAGGCAGGGCTATCTGCCAAAAAAAAAAAAAACAAGGTTAAAAAAGCAACTTACATCACAATGTCATAGCCCATATGTGGGCTTTTTTACCGGTCTTTTAATGATATTCTTAAATATTACAATTTATAACAATAAAAATTAATACAAACTAAGAAGAAAAAATAAGGTCTAGTTGTTTACTTTTTGGTCCATAGATCATGTTAAATGACAGTAAGACAATAACTACTTTTATGACTAAATTATTTGATACGATGCATCATAATTATTCTTCTAATACCACTCATACTTTAAAAAAATTAAGACTGCTGGGAGACAGAACAGAAAACCTAAGCCAAAATGTTGTTAAAAAAATAGAAAAAACAGACTTCTCTCTCTCTCTCTCTCTCTCTCTCTCCCTCCTTCCCTCCCTCCCTCCCTCCCTCCCTCTCTGTCAATATTGCTTGAAAGAGCAGGGTTGAGAAATTTATTCTCCAGATTATCAAGAGCCATCTTTCTTTAGAGCAAAGAGTCTGAATAAGGGGGGAGTGTTTTAAATAAAACAGCCGAAGCCCACAATTATGCCTCACAAAATCTGTCAAGAGGTAGCAGGTGCAGAAGGGAGACAAAGAGAGTAAGACAATTGGATTCCTCTTTAAAAGTGCAAATAGCTGTTTCAGTGGGAGGGGATGGATGACACTCCTGAGACAGTAAGCGGCTTCACAAGCCAAATTAACATGCCAAGATGGTGCTGAACACTCTCGGCTCAATGGCTCTCATGTTGCTGATTTTCCAAGCACTGCTCTCCAATAGCTAATTCCTATTTTCCATTCTGTTCAGTTTGCATCTCATTTCCCCTCTTCTGTCTCTTCACTGGCTCCTTTTGTTCCAACACCTGAACACAAGAAGCCATGTTTTACTGACTTCCTTCAAAGGACTTGCTGCAGCTCCCCAGAATTGGTGGACCAAAGAGGTTGTGGTCGCCTTGTCCAGAAATCTTAACCCTGGATTGCATCTGGGAAATTTGGATTGGAATCTAGTGTCCTATACTTTAAACCCATAATTCCAACTTCTGTACTCTAAAACAAGAGAGGACAGTAGTCCTTGACTTATAACCCCAATTGGGACCAGAATTTTTGTTGCTAAGCAAGGTGATTGTTATGTAAGTCATGCCCAATTTTACATTTTTCACCATGATTAAACAAATCACTGCAATTAAATAAATCCAGCCTCCCCCATTGACTTTGCTTGTTGGAAGCAGCTGGGAAGGTTGCAAATGGTGATCACATGACCCTGGGATGCTGCAACTGTTTTAAATATATGCTGGTTGCAAAATTCATCAGATGACCCTGGGGATGCTGCATCAGTCATAAATGTGAGAATTATTTCACTTTTTATAGTGTCATCGTAATTTCAAATGGTCACTGAATAGTTGTAATTCAAGGACTATCGGGATACCCTTCCTTGTGAGTGACCTCGGTATGTACACGACTAGATCTAGATTTCTAACAAGAAACAAGAGGCCTAGAGGGAAAGGTTGAGGTAAACACACAGCCCTGATTTAAATGGGTGCTCCACACTTTATACAAATACAAGTCCAGAAAGGGAAGGTCTATTTGGGGGACAATTAACACCATAAATCAGAGGTCCCCGACCTTTTGGGCACCAGGGACTGGTTCCGTGGAAAGAGGTTTTTCCACAGACCGGAGGGTGTGTGGTTTTGTGTGATGCCTGCATCCCGCGGATGGGGCTTTGCTTGTTTGTGCAGACTGGTTGATGGCATGCTGCGGCCCGGTACTGGTCCACGGAGCGGGGGTTGGGGACCCCTGCCATAAATGGTAGGTTAGCACTTAATATTGGGTTAGAGCAGTGGTGGCAAACCTATGGCACAAGTGCCAGAGGTGGCACTCGGAGCCCTCTCTGTGGACACATGTGCCATCACCCCAGCCCTGCCTCCCTCCATGGCCCCCTCCACATCAACAGCCCCCCTGGAGAGTCACCCCCAGGCATGGCCAGCCTGGAGCAGCGCAGCCAAAGACATGGCAGCCGTGTAGTGGGGACAAGACTCCGCCCTTGCGCCCTGCCGCAGATGATGCTGCAGGGCATGGGTGAAGGGCGTGGCTACCATGGTGCTACTGGGCCGCCTGGGTGATCTGCGGCGGGCCGTGGAGGTGGTGGGTTGCCCTGCGGGTGGGTGGGAGCAGGGGTGGGGCGGTGTGGGGGTGGGGCAGTTTTTGTGCACTCGGTGTCTAAAAGGTTCGCCATCACTGGGTTAGAGCATCTGCTTCTTAAGGTATTTTTCTCTAGCCCCCCCAAAATTTCAATTTTCTTTAAAAGAAGTCCTTGTGATCTTTCCATCCCCCACTTGCTTTGGCTTAGAGACTTGTGAATGACAGGATTTGTCAATGAAGTACATCAGATTCCAGTTTGATGGGCAGTCAATCAGTGACATCAGTACACCTGAACAGTTGGAGCATGAAGACGCCATGATGGAGTCCAGGAGCAGGCAGGAAGTCTGTACTAAAAGAGCCCACCAAACTTCCTTTGTCACAGACACAGTAAGAAAAAAGAAACCTGGTGTAGCCATCTTGAATACTGCAATGTAACTTTCTTATTTTCTTATTCCTTCTATTGCAAATAAAGTGTTGGTTATACATGCACAAATCTGAGTATTTTGTAAACTAAATGACCAATTTCTGATCAACATTATATGGAGACAGGATGGTAAAAAAAAGCTGTGAAAATATCCAAATCTTCCTCTAGCAGCATGCTCATATAACTACAGTATTATTATCCTCTTAACTATTATAAAGTGTGTTGGATATATTCTCCACCTTGAGTTATTTGTAAAAATAATAAAGGTAGGTTCTTTTGCATTCATTGTTCAAAAAAACCTCCTGAAGTCTTATACGCCTTAAATTTGTGTTTGTGTGTGTGTATTACTTTGTACAAATACATACAATTTTATTAGTTTTATATGAAATCATTATATATAGAATAATCTGTCTATAGAAAATACTCTTTAAAAAGGTAAACTACTCTTAAAAAGATGATCCTGGATAAATTTCCTTAAATATTTAAATAACATTTATTTTTATTTTTTGAATAAGATGCCCTTGTTACATTTTTGTATCTTACTTTTCGTATAAAATAATAGATCTTACCTATTTTAGAACTATGGTTGTTAAGAGGATACATGTAAGACCTTCAAAAGTGCAATTTGGAGGGCTTACGCCGCTTAGGGCAAGTAGAGATAAATATTTAAGGACTAGTAAAATGAGGTAGTCATGAAGAAAATCTGAATTAGTTACTATGGTACCTACCAATCATGATCCTCTAATTCAGGGGTCCTCAACCCTGGCAACTTTAAGACTTGCGGACTTCAACTCCCAGAATTTCCCAGCCAGCAAAGCTTATGATGCACATTTAATATGTCAAGTCATAAATTTGTGAGGAAAAAAGAAAAACCCAAAAAGTGCACAGGCAGTTATCAGGTTACGACCGCAGGTCAGCAACTGTTCAAACTTGCAGTGGCACTAAACAAGGGGTATATATGACAGGTCCTCAGAGTTCTGACCAACAGTGTCGTGCGGTCATGTGATTGCGATTTATAACCTTCCCTGAGGGTCTCCCGCAAGAAAAATCAATGGGAAAGCTGGCAGGAAGTCAGAAGTCGCAGTCATGTGGAGTCCTCACTTAACAACCCATGTGGCCCTCACTTAGCAACAGCAACTGGAAACATGTGTAGCAATGGAATTCCAGTCTTGATCGCTGTTGTAATCCAAGGACTACCTGTAGTAGCACTCTTGACACTGGATTACAGTATTTAGACAGGATTCCCCATCCCAACAATAATGGATGAAACAAAGCCACAAACTGGGATTATTCAATAGCTGATTGTATTTCAGGCAAAAAGAAGAGTTTTAAAATCTCACAGAGGTGTATCCTATGAGATCATCAAATGATCCATTCAATTACGAAGTCCTTAAACTCTGTGGCCAAGTCAACATTAGCAAAGGAGATTAATTTTAAACTACATGGTTGACAAATCCAGGATTTGAAAAAATTGTTTAGTACAATCCCTACCAAAAAAAAAAAAAAAAAAGGAATTGGAGAATTTTCTTTCCCTTTGGCATGAGTTAAGCAAGAAAAATAATCAAGTTTTCTTGCATCTCCACCTCAGATGCTGCTGGCAATAGATTGCTCATTCTTGTTTCCAATTCTCTTTTTGAAATACAAGTTCCACAGCATCATTCACATCATGAACAACATAAGAAGCTTCCACCAAGGATGGATCAAAATGGAAGTCACGATGGCCATGGGACAGAGTCTTCAGGATGTTCTCGGGGTCAGTAGGGATGTCTCCATGAGGATTGTAGACCCCGGTGCAAACTAGTATAGAATGGCAGTTTTTTGCGGAGCTGATTGAGATACTGCAGTCTCTCTGCGCCTCCGGATGTTTCTCACTCTCTGCTGCCATAGCAGTTACATTTACTTCAGCCTGAGACTGGAGGTAGCGGTGGTAGAGGTTGGCACCATAAATATCAGCCATTGGATTATCCCTATATGTAGAGTTAAGATGTAAGAACACAGTAGGGTGGGGGCAAGAGAAACAGTAGTTAATATATGATTTTTGCCAACCATTAAACCATTATTCTCGAACATATTATCCTCCCGTTGTGTTGTGACCAAAATTCCCCAATTCCAAGTAGCACAAGTGGGTCCAAATAACATATTTACAATGCGAAAAACTTCATTAGTACTGCTTATAAATAGATACTCCAAGATCAGCAGGAACAGAGATTAGGTTTTCACATTGCCTGGTTGTGCATTGTGCTTAGCCACAAACCATGGCTTACACACAATGGTTGGATGCATATAATTTGCTCAACCCAAACCAACAACGAACAACACAATGCTCCTCGCTGTTTTTTGCACTATGGCAAAATCTTCCTCTTTCCAAGCTAAGATAGGAGGACTGCTTACCCAATAGCATAGAGTTGGTGAAGAGGGGATGACCAGCCACAACTCTCCATCTGCTGCTTGAGCACATGTTCAGCATAGCGGTAAGTAACAGTGCTGGGCTTGCCTAACAGGGCCTCGTACTTCAGTTCTTTGCCTGTCATTTTCTTGTAGATGTTCTCCAAACAGACAAGAAAGGTGCCATGGCCAAACCTTGCCAGTGGAAAAGACAGTGGGACAGGGAGAAAGAAAGTCAACATATATGCTGACTGACTGGAGTACAACAGTTTGCCTTATATGTATCCTGGATTAAATATACCATATTTCAATGTCTAAGCACTGGCCTCAGCAAGTGGAGTGGAGGCAGGATCAGGCCTAATTAGTACTTCCATGGAGAATCACCTAAGAATCCCAGAACTATTGACTAAACTGGGAAGAAGAGAGCTAAAACAGGCCACAGCAAATTACTTCCATCACACTGCCTAGGACTGCTTAGATCAGGGGTCTTCAAACTTGGCCCTTTTATGACTTGTGGACTTCAACTCCCAGAATTCCTCAGCCAGCGTGCCTGAGTCATAAAAGGGCCAGGTTTGAAGACCCCTGGCTTAGATGCTGTTAGCAAGCACCAGGGTGTTTTTGTTTTTACTTGCCAAGTGACATACTCTGGGATGTTCACCTGTCACTGATATTTACTCTTGCAAAATTCAATATTTGCTGCTGCTCCCTTGTTAGTGATTTGCTCTGTTACCATTAGACTATAACAAAAATGTTCTCTCAGAACTCCCCCCTACTAGGTAGAAAAAAATAACCAGATTTCTTCAGAGAAAGGAGAAAGTTTCCAACAATTTGTTAACTCCTAAATGCCTGGACATAAAAGCATCATAATGGGGATATTACTCAAAAATCCCTACTCCTGGCTACCACACTGTGAGCCATTATTAGTGAGTCCATAAGAAAGGCCCACTCAGCAATCTGACTGCACAAGTTGAATGATATAAAGGAAAGTGATATTTTAAATATTAGAATCCTAAACTATAATGACTTTATAAACAAACATCAACCCCTTAGGTTGGGCCTGCTAGTTCACAGGTGCTAACAGTGTAGTACTTTCAGGCCCACAATTATATAGCCCCACTTAAAAATTAGGCAGCAGCATTCTGTACTAGTTGTAGCTCCTGGATTGACTTCAAGCAAGCCTACGAATTGCAGCAAACAAATAAGAGAAACTGAAAGATCAACTGTCACAAGAGTCTAGGGCAGGGGTAGTCAACCTTGGCTCTTTTATGACTCGTGGACTTCAACTCCCAGAATTCCTGAGCCAGCCATGCTGAGGGGAAAGGGAGAGTTTCCAAGCTGAGCCATGCTGGCTCAGGAATTCTGGGAGTTGAAGTCCACGAGTCATAAAAGAGCCAAGGTTGCCTACCCCTGGTCTAGGCTATCTTGGTGCTGGCATATCAACTGAAACTGGGCATCAACCCTTCTTACCACCAAGACCACCTGCACTTTTAGTGACTAATAGGAATGAAAGAGAACCCCCTCCCCAAGGAACCCAATTCTGGTGGAGAAAAGAATGCTAACCTATCAAGCGCCTGCTATCTCTCTACCTCCCAGAACTGAGAACTAAGCTATGTCCATCTTATCTGGATTCAGCTTCAATATAGTGAAATCACCCAGCCATTACAAATTTCCGAAATTACCAATCATCTGAATAGCGTTTCCCAATTTAGCTGGAAAGCAGACACAAAACTGGGTGTCATCTGGCTATTGGAAACATCAAACTCCAAGTCACTGGAGGACTATTTCCAGTAGGTTTGTATAAATATTGAACAGCAGGAGAAAAAGAATAGATTTTTGTGATATCCTGGATGTATCAAGGATTTCAACAGAAATATGAAAGTGTCCTTCTCTGATGATTTTACAAGTAGGACTCACATCTTGAAGACATTTTCCCTCAACTCTTAAAGTTCTGAGTAACGACTACATCATTGCAAATATTATTTTCTTGAGTGAGATACTGTTGATGGCCATCAATATGTTTCAGGATTAGATATAATACATGAAGCCTTATCTACTTTGATGGATGACTGAAAGGAGAGGCCTAGAGAATACTATCATGTTGGTTTCTCTGGCTCTCTCAGCAATCTTCAACACTATTAATCATATAAAATTGCTAATGTTGCTCAGTCAAATGTGATGTGGAGAAAACAACATTTCAGTGGTTCCACCACTTGCAGGAAAGCCACCATAGAATGGCACTAGCCATTGGCACTACGTTTGACTGAGATATATTATATATAAAGACAAAAAACTCCCTTCCTAAAATAATGCCAAATTACAGCTTGTCTAATGGACAATCATTTAAATATGAGCCAGCAGTGTGCTGCAGCTGCCAAAAAAGCCAACACAGTGCTAGGCTGCATTAACAGAGGGATAGAATCAAGATCACATGAAGTGTTAATACCACTTTACAATGCCTTGGTAAGGCCACACTTGGAATACTGCATCCAGTTTTGGTCACCGCGATGTAAAAAAGATGTTGAGACTCTAGAAACAGTACAGAGAGGAGCAACAAAGATGATTAGGGGACTGGAGGCTAAAACATATAAGGATCGGTTGCTGGAATTGGGTATGTCTAGTTTAATGAAGAGAAGAATGAGGGGGGACATGATAGCAGTATTTCAATATCTCAGGGGCTGCCACAAAGAAGAGGGAGTCAAGCTATTCTCCAAAGCGCCTGAAGGCAGGTCAAGAAGCAACGGGTGGAAACTAATCAAGGAGAGAAGCAACCTAGAACTAAGGAGAAACTTCCTGACAGAACAATTAACCAGTGGAACAACCTGCCTCCAGAAGTGGTGAATGCTCCAACACTGGAAGTTTTAAAGAAGAAACTGGACAGCCATTTGTCCGAAATGGTATAGGGTTTCCTGCCTGAGCAGGGGGTTGGACTAGATGACCTCCAAGGTCCCTTCCAACTTTTATAATTATTATATTATATTAATACTGTAGATAATAGTCAGCTTCGGGTTCATGCAGGCTAACTGGGAAAGGCATTTTCTACAAGAGATTCATCAAGAATGCTAGTGATATTTGGATGGGTGGGAGAAAATGATTAAAAAATGTAATTGAGACATCTCCACAAGTCATTTCGCTCACCTTGGCATCTTGGCTTCTGCCATCCACAAGAGGTCCATGTTGCAAGCAATGATAGGTAGATGTGGATATGGCACAGAGGCTAACTCTACTCCTGGATTCCCATTGCTCAGGAGTACATCACTAATCAACTGAAGGCAGGTTTCCCACCTTACTGGCTCCCCCAACAGAATTATTCCTAAAGTTGGAGAAAGCCAGACAACTTTTTCAACAAGGGATGTCTGCATGGCACACTTTCAAAAATTTTACAATATCATTAGATTGTCCACAACTTTTTTTTTCTACTGCTGTTTTTATTTAGTGCAGCCTGATCAAGACCATAAATTAAGTCTGAGCTAAGAAGAGCTAACTGTATCCTTAAAACTGCAAAGGTGCCCAACAATAGTTACCTTCTATGGTGGGAAAGTCAATGGTTGGAGGAGGCTATAAAAAAAAAAGAAACAAATGTTAAGCAAATGAGCCAAGGTATTGCCAGAGAAAAATAACCAAATTTAGAAACAAATTCTCTTAATTATTATTATTATTATTATTATTTAAATTTATATACCGCCCTATCTCCCTTACGGGACTCAGGGCGGTGAACAGGCAATAATAAAAATCACAGTAAATA